TTGTTTGTTAGTGATCTTGTGCTTAAACCTGAAGAACCAATCTAGTTGGGTTTTTTTGGTTGACACTGAGAAAGCCTGGAGCAATAACTGCTGAGGAGGCAGCCTCTGGAAAGAGGAATGTTAGTGAGGGCTATTCTGCCCTTCATATACTCTGAGGTATCATTTCCATAGGGCTCACAGAACATAGTGCTTAGGACCTGCTTTTAAGGTCTGGAGGCTTTTAAAGTAGTCAGCAGAACAAGAAGCTTATGTAGACTATTGGTTTTGGAGCAAATAAAGCCTTTTTAATAGCCTGAACTTTAAACGTTTCGTTCCTCACAGCTGCAAAAGTAATTAAAAAACAAGGAGGCAGGATTCTTCTGTGTTTTAAGAGGGACTTGGAGGGCAAAAAGTTGCCCACTTGGAAGAGATAAATTTGCTGACCTTTCCTATCCAATGCTTTTGGCCTTCATCTTGAAGATGCTGTGCTCACAGCTTACATGCTTCACTGTCACGTCAAGAGCCTGCTCTCCTGGCGAAAGAAATAAGACAGTTCCTTCTGTAGGGCCTGGTTTGAACTGGCATAGTTTATCCGTGCTTGTTCCTACATCTTTCGAGTGATCATCTTGGTTTTGGACACTGAGCTCCTCTCCAGGTTAGGTGGGTGCTTGTGTCTGTTCTGGAGTTTTTTGATCCCTAAAATGGCATCACAGACTCTAGAAATGTGATAATTCCTTGCGACACTGTATCTACCAGTGCTCCTGATAGTAGTCACTTACTGTAACAACTGTTTACTCTTGATTTAGAGAGGGGGAATTTAATTATCATGCATGTTTACAGTCATCAGAAAAAAAAGTGACTGTGATACCATTGATCCATATCCTGGCACCATGACCAAATGAGCGTGTTTGCAGCAAGTGGCTTACAGGGCTGGACAATAATGGTCTGGCACACAGCTAAGCATCTCTGTCAAATGAACAGTGGTATGTAATGCAATCATTATCTCAGCAGACACCATAGAAGAGTAGTATCTTAGACTGCACTTCCACTTCTCTCTAAGACTATGACACAGAAAACCTCCCATGGAGGAGGGCCTTTTTTGGGTGGAGTGCACCTTTCAAGTCTGAGGCCAGCCAGTACTCTACTGAAAAATTTTGTTTACTGTTAAGGTGTCATTTGCACCTCCTCTGCCAACACCTTGTGCTAGTTTTCTGTTCCTATTTCTTGGCTGCATTTGCCACTCAACGAGCAGTCTTTCCCAGCAGAAGATCCAGTGAGGATGTAAGCAGGCTCTGCTGCTTTGTGTTAGCCAGCCACTATGGCAAATCTACCAGAAGAGAGACTGTTCTCAGACATTGGCGAAAGCAAGGCAGATTGTGTTAGCTTCTGGTGTGTGTGGTAGCTGTGTCTACCAGAAATGCAAAGGGAGACCACACCAGCTGAGTGAGAATGTCAGGATAAGAAAAGCACTACTCCAGTATATAGGTATTTCCCAATCATATCAAGGTCTATTGATTGTTACCCTACATGTTACCTTTGAGTTCCTAAACAGGCTGTGACCTACTGACAAGGGTCAGCCACAAGGCTTCCTATCCCAGGAAATTTTGTTCAGTAGATTATAATAAAGTTTGATAAAGTTAGCTTGATGTGTTATCAGAGGTTCAATAATTGACCTGGAATGGAAACACTCCCTGCTTGTGTTTTTCTTGCTTTCTTTTCTGTAGATAAGATATTTGGTCCAATGTCTGTGTGCACACTTTCTTTCCAGAGTGTGTAACTATAGCCCTGGGTAGGATCAGCCCAGGGCAGATGAGAAGCAGCAATGCTGGGCTCAGGAGGGAAGCTGTAGCTCTAGGCTAAGGAGCAATATCCACAGCTGTGCTAGCTGGAGCAGGTCTGGCCGTGATGCAGGGTGTTGACAGCCAAAGCCACCTTACCCCTGCCTTCCCAAGAGGAGTTTGTGAATGGGAGTAGGCTGAATGTGGCATGGATAAGAAGCACAACGTGATTATCTTACAACAGTTTGGCAAGCTATCCAGTAGCTGCCTATGAACCTGAAAATAATTTACCTTCATCCCAGAAAAACATTACTCTGGTAAAGGGAGACAGTGGAAAGCTGTTAACATGGGCCCGTAACTTTTGACTCAGCAAAGGATGGTCCCACAAAGCAAGCTCTTCCAAGGAAGAGAGCAACAAGATTTTGTGACAGCCAGCGGTCTGTCGTCTGTACTTATCACTGCTCTTCATGTTCACAGCACGGTTGTTGGTGTCAAGAGCCAGCTCCTACAAGTGAGTCTGGAACCGAGACCATGACGATGGCTGGAAAGACACCTCACCAACAGACGGCACTTTTGGGAGTACAACAGCCTCAGGCCTGGGGCTTATAAGGGCACTGGTGCCAGGGTGCCAGTAAACGTGCTCTAGTGTAGTTGCTTGTTATGACTGAAGATGAGGAAGACTTTATCTGGCAAGTGTCCCAGAAAAAAAAAAAATCAGCTGAGGATCCTGGCACAGACAGGACAGTGATTGCTGCTTCATGTCAGAAATATCCAACAGCCTGATCTATTTGCATGCAAGAAAAGATTCCTATGAAGTGGCAGATCAGCCAAAGGATGCAAGAAGTGCCTCTACACCTACACACATAACACAGGATCTCATGTACCCTCACTTCAGCCATGGCTACTAATGGCATTCTGTTTTAAATTTTACTTTATTGATACAGCAGGAAAAATGTAGATGTGCTGGGATCTTTGGTATACCTGCACCAGATAGAAGGCCTTATTTACCTGTCTGTTTTCACATAGTACTGTGTAGAGCTTAGACTGGAATTGGGAAGGCACTAGTTCCTTTGCTATTATCTAACTGGTGTTACTAAGTTTTTACAAGACAGTAGAGTTAATAATTCTTATGCTCACTGACTGTAAGTGTGCATGTAAGCAAATATTTCAATAGAACACAGGGTACAACTGGAAGTAGTTAATGGATCTGAGGGAGCAGAGCTACCTTTTGCAAGAAAATACTTGTCTTTGAACTTTGGAATAGGACTGTCAGACTTTTTCCCCCCCTTTGTCTAAGCCATAAAACCCCCCTAGTTCCAAATGGCCATTCTTGAGTTCAACAGTAACTTCTCAAATGCTCTTATGTATACTAAAGTAAATAAATATCTTTCTGCTATTCGCTTCTTTCACAGCTGCACCATTTGGCTCTGACAGGAACTGCAAGCCCATCAGTGGCTGCAGACATGACAATTTCTGTCATGGTGGTAGGACATAACTTATAAGAGAAAAGCCAGCTTCACATCTTTGGTAAAAGAGTGTGATGGTGCTCGGACTAAGATGGTGTGATTGGCCACATCACAGGCAGAGCTGGAACAGTGGATATGGCTTATGTTACAATTGTTTTGCAATCCTGTTTTCCTTTTCTAGATCATAGTCAGAGATGCTGATGACACTTTGTCCGCTTCACGTTGCACAGTTCCCTTCTTTATTCACTGGGCAATTCTGTCAGCCCTTTGTAATTGTCTAAGGACTTCAGGACTGCTGTTACAGGTTTCTCACTGAAACCTTCCCTTGGCAAGAAAGTACAGAGGAAGAGCCTCAGTCTAAGAGGCTTGGAAATGCATGCGAAGGCACAGAAAAAAACAAGTTGTGAATCTCAGCACAGAGCCCAGCATTGATTTAAGAGATCTCCTGACTGCCCCGTTCTCACTTTTTATCCTGTGTGCCTACCATGCCTTGCAAGCACTGACGAGTTACAGGGGTTGTAAGTGATTGTCTACCCCACTTCCATTGAATTTTCGTATTTAGGACATTGTGTCTGCAGTTCACTAGTACAGCTTTCCACCCAGGCAGACACAAGATGCCTAGGAAAGAGTAGGCAAGAAAGCAGAGGCAGAGCTCAGGCAGCACTGTAGCAGGGAAATTAGGTGTAGTGCTCTGGCAAGGCTGGAGAAATCAGCTTTGAGAGGTGCTGGCAAGACTTTGATCAGCCCTTCTCTGTGAACAGGGATGGACTTATCTCAAGGGTGCTTACAGGCCTTTTGCTTGGGGCACACTGAGGTCAGAATGTGGGCACCAGACCAAGGCTGTGGCTGGGGCCCAATGGCAGTAAGTCACACTACTAGGATATTGTCAGCTGAAGTTCATTTTTAATTTCTGTTTGGCACTTCATACTGGCAAAACTCCCACCCTGTCGGATTTCGGTTAAATCAGGTCACAATTTCGGAAGTTACAGGAAATCATATATTCACCCACATAATACATTATATTTGTTTGCAGTGGATACCAGGCAAGAAAAGCCTTTCAGGAATTTAAAGCATATCTTCAACTGTATCATAGATAAACTGCAAATCTCAGTTTTCATCTCCTATGTAAAAAAAACCTCCAGTGTTTCCACACAGGTCCATGCCCAAATTTTGCTACCTGTGCTTCTGAAAGATTCACTGACACAAAGGGATGCATCAGGCGGCTACTCCTAAGTCTTTGAACACATGTGTTCAAAGCTGGATAAAAGAATTGCAGCCTGAGATCCTGGGAATACAGTAGAAATAGTCAGGAAATGCTAACAATGAAGTAAAAATTACAGACGTTTTTTGCATGTGGTACAAAGTTATTTCTTAGCTGGACATAAACCCATAAGAAGCGCTACTAAGGTAGCTATATTATATATTGCAAATTAAGAGAACATTAAGAAAGACTGTATATGAGACAAGGTGGAAACCAGATGACCTAACAGTAGTATATCCTGTTAAAAACTCAAAATGGAGCAAACAAATTCATTATATTGCTTCTATTGCTGCTGCTGGAATAGGAAAAGGGCATGGATTGAACAAGAAACATGACTTGCTTACAGTATCACACATAACTTTAGAGGAAGGATGTTTATGTATAATTCCAGGAACTCTAGTTATATGTAAATTTTGAGAGCAAGAGAAGGCAGCCATCTGACTCATTATCTGCTGAGGAAGTGCCGTGCTTGCTGTAATACTTACATTTGTACTTTTTATTACCTGTATTCTTCAGAGTGGTGAATGGAAGTCTTCACTACAATTTTACTGCCTTGGATAACCTTTTGGATCACCTGTGGGTATATAAGCTAATTCCAGGTAAGAGCAGGTCCCTGCCTCCACAACTTGCTACATCTGTTTGCCCATATTGTGCACTCATCAGAAAATTCTTAGAGAGCTTTGCCAAAGCTGATTTTGATAAAAATTAACGTTTTGCTATTTGCATTTACCCTTGTGTCCATGTAAACTGAGCAAAACACTGTTAGGGTAACGAAGACAACACAAATGGTTTTGCACTGCTTTCAACAGCAGTTTGAAATGTATGAATTGGGAAATAAGATCTCTTGAAGAGGAGAAAAATTTCTACCCATTAATATGTACCTAAAGGGGACAGAGAAGTGGATACTCAAGGTATAACTTCACTTGAATTTCTGCAAACATCCACTACTTAAAGTTCCCTCTGAGCCCAGAATTTATGATGGTAGGTATTAGTATTGGTTACTATAGTGAGCAACCTCAAATCTGAAATATTCCTGGTGGGGACATGTAGAAACAGGAAAGAAAGCCCACTTAATGATGCTTCTTCATTAACAAGTTTGTTTCAGATAATACAATAACCCCTTCATTATTCAAAAGGAGAGCGTATTAACAAAAAAAAGGGTGCCCAATCTTTTGTGTCTTTTTTAGGATTTGAACTGATGGGAAATCCATCAGGATATTTTTCAGATTTTGAAGATAAAGAACAAGTAGTTGGATGGAGAAACTTAGTTATGCTTCTGGCCAGCAGATACATAGGTGAGTTCCAAAAAAAAAAAATGCTATTTATTCTGTTGTAATCCCTTCTAATTGTCTCAAAAAGTTGCGGCCAAGAAGGCCAATGGCATCCTGGGGTGTATCAAAAGGGGTGTGGTGAGTAGGTCAGAGGGGTTCTCCTTCTCCTCTACTCTGCCCTGGTGAGACCACATCTGCAATATTGTGTTCAGTTCTGGGCCCTCAGTTCAAGAAGGACAGGGAATTGCTTGAAAAAGTCCAGTGCAGAGCCACAAAGATGATGGAGGGAGTGGAGCATCTCCCTTATGAGGAGCGGCTGAGGGACCTGAGTCTCTTTAGTCTGGAGAAGAGGAGACTGAGGGGAGACCTCATTAATGTTTATAAATTTGTAAAGGGCGAGTGTCAGGAGGAAGGAGCCAGCCTCTTCTCTCTGATGTCCAATGACAGGACAAGGGGCAATGGGAGCAAGCTGCAGAATAGGAGGTTCAACCTGAAGATAAGGAAAAACTTTTTTACTGTAAGGGTGACAGAGCACTGGACCAGACTGCCCAGAGAGGTCGTGGAGTCTCCTTCTCTGGACACATTCAAAACCTGCCTGGATGCGTTCCTGTGTGACCCAGTCTAGGTGATCCTGCTCTGGCAGGGGGGTTGGACTGGATGAGCTTTCGAGGTCCCTTCCAGCTCCTAATATTCTGTGATTCTGTGAAAGGGAAAAAACATGCCAGAACAGATAATGTGTAATAGCCCCCTTTTTTTTGCTGATCCGTGACTAACAACCTGAATGAGTAATGTGTTCTGGGTAGCACGTTTTGCCTGCCCCTGAGGAGTGACTTTTAACTTCATTACAACGTTGTGGTTGTAAACAACCAGCTTGCACTAGGACATGATAACCTGAATACTTCCTACATGCCAGCTTTAAATATCTCTAATGAGACAGTATCCTCAACTTTTAACTAAGGCTAGGTGAGTGCGCTAACCAGAAGGCTGCAATTCACATTATCTGCCTCTCTCTTTAATCTTTTTCAAATACTGTTACATTTCATCGAAAATGAGAGATCATTTTGAAACTACCAAAAGCACATTCCCCTTATTATTAAAAATAGGTAATATTTATACCTTACTGTAGCTCTGGGTGCTGAACCTCATCTGCAACCCTAATTGATAGGGTTGTCTGGATTGGTGACTAATTGCTATGATTGTCTGAATATGCAGCTTACTGATAAATGAGGCCTCTCCTACAGATAGGTATGGATTGGAGCATGTTGCTAAATGGAATTTTGAAACGTGGAATGAACCAGACCACCATGACTTTGACAATGTGTCTATGACAGTGAAAGGTAAGCATGTTTTGGAGCACTTACAGCTGTAGTAAAGTGAGACAGATTCGTGGGGTGGGGTGGAGGAGGGATGTGATAGGGTGGGGGTGTGACAGTGAGAAAGGAGAGATGCAAGCAAAGAAATAAGGTAGACAGGAGAGAAAAGGAGTGTGAAAGGTATGCCTAATCTGTTTTGGTACGGTCATGTTACTGACTACAATTTGTTACCTGCTTGGACATCAGTATAAATACAGGGACAGTAGAACAGGGAAACAGAACAGGAGTTAAACTAAGATGTTGTTCATTATATGGATGTAAAGTAAGGTTACTAGGGGTAAGGGACTTAAGAGTGGAGTAAGAGGAAAACTGTTCATTGACAGATACATGCTTTGGGAACCTGCCCCTACAAGACCTTTGGAAGAACCTTGTGAATGCAGTTGAGGTTTTGATGTCTTCTCATGTTGTCAGTGCATAGGAAAGAGTAGGCCCAGTTTGTAAGGTCTGCCAATAATAGAGTTATAATACCTCCCTGTAGTTTTAGATCAAGATTTTATTTTGATTTACCATCTTTGATATATGCATCTGCTTGGACTTCAGGGTTTCTCAACTACTATGATGCTTGCTCAGAAGGATTAAGAGCAGTCAGTCCTCTACTAAAATTTGGAGGTCCTGGGGATTCCTTCCACCCCTTACCCAAGTCACCCATATGCTGGAGTCTTCTGCATCACTGCTACAATGGAACCAACTTCTTCACAGGGGAGACTGGTGTAAGGCTGGACTACATCTCTCTCCATAAGAAGGTCTGTCCAAGGCTTCAGTTTAAAGCTTTATTTTCAATCAGTTCAATCCAAGTTACATTTTAGTCTGATTTATGAAGTTGATTTTCAAATGAGTGTCCACCCTATACCAGAAAGCATTGCTACCTATTCTAATGAAACTTCAAATATGTTCAGTTGCAAGATTTCAACTCAAAGCAAGTTTGCCTTTCCCTGTTTCCCAGGGGGAAACAACTCCTGTACCTCTTTCCATTTTATATTCTAGGAGAAGCTGATGTGAACAGCACATGCTGTAATGGATTAGGTAAAATTACTAATACTGTTTGGCCTGTAGCTCCTCAGGGACTCCCAGAACATTTTTTCAGAATATGTTTATGTCTGAATGTTATAACTGTGTGCTTACTACTGTTTGTTCGCTTTCACTAAGCAGATGTGAAATCTTGTTGCAGGGAGGTGGGAGTTCTCTCTACATCCTGCAACAAGAAATAGAAGCAGTTGAACAAATTCAGAAGCTGTTTCCAAATTTTGCTTCAGTTGCCATATACAATGATGAAGCAGATCCAATGGTTGGATGGTCCATTCCACAACTGTGGCGAGCTGATGTAACCTACGCAGCAATGGTTGTAAAGGTAACTCAGTTCATTGCCAGTCTTGTCACAGTAGGGTTTCCTGATGTGTTAATGCACTTGCAAAAGTAGACTTACAGTCAGTTTTTAAGCAGCTATTCAGAATAATAAATCCAACAAAAGGAGAACTTTGTATTGATATAGGTGTTGTTTCTTTCCCTGAATAGTGTGGTTTCAGTAGCTTTATTTAGTTTGCTTTAGTTTTCTTCATCTTCCCTTTAAAAAAACAAAACAAAACTGAGAACTAGCCTTCTATGTGTTGGAGAATGTGTTAGATATTGTATGCAATCAACCAGCTAGATCCTCCTGGTAAGACTATATCCTCTCACTACTGCTAGCTACCACCTTAGTTATGTGAGACATTATTTCCCTGCCCCTTCATAAGTTTATCTCATCACAAGGTATAATTAAGAAGTCCCTTGAGCCTGCAGCATATGCCCATTCTTTGGTTTTGGATAATGACTGTACACATGTGGTCTTATTAACTACTGCTAATAATTGCTCCTGTTGATTAGAAAAGCAGAAAGATCTTCTGCCTCTGCAGGAATTGTTACCTGGCCCCAAAGCAAGCTCAGCTCTTGCCCCTGCATTGCAATAGGTCCCACTGCAGATCTGTTGCTTTGTGAGCCACTACCTCATACAGCATTCAGAGTCCAAGCGCTCCTGTGCAAAGTAGTAATTCTCAAACCTGAGAGCATATATGTCACCTGGAAACAAGATACGTCTTATCAGCTGCTCCTTTGGAGACAAAGGCTTCCAGCTCCTTTAGGCTGCATACAGAAGCAGTCTTCTCCAAAGCAAGGATTCACTGACAGTTTGTGAGAGCAAACATCAGTGTTTATAATAACATGTTGTATGAAAGGAGGAAAAAAGATACATGCAACAGAAAGTTAACACTTAGGTGGTGAGGAGGTAGAAAGACCTGTGTTCCTTCAGAGACACAATTATGAGACCTTTAGAGTTGTCAACCTTCTGAAATTCTGATTGATTGTGATACTTAGGCACAATCTGGTAAACAAAGAGCTTGGTAGCTCTGACACTTTGCAGGAAAGCAGCACAGCAACTAATGAAATACCATGAGAACTAATTCCATGTTAGCACCAAGTAGGAAAAATTACTCATAGAGGAACAGAACACGGGACCAGCTCCCAGACACACGTATAATGGGTACAAAGTAACTATAGAATTGGAGAACCGTTTAGATTTAATTCATATGGTAAATGGAATATTCAAGACAGAGGAATATCATTTGTAGTGCAGTAGCCAAGGAAATAGATTCATAATTTATGCAGAGTAATAGTAATAATTATTTCAGAGACTTTTTACTGGCTGTCTACTATGTAGGTACTTCAAATTTTCCAGTGATTAATGTATTACCTACAGAATAGTTTCTCCAAGAGTTGTGAGGAACAGTTTAGTCCTTCAGACTTTTCTGAATGGCAGAGTGACAGCTCTTATGCTGTAAAGTTTAAAAAAAAAATGTAGACATCATGTGTTTGTTGGATATTCTCCTGGGTGAAGTTCCATCTTCTCTGTGACTTTGCAGGTAATCGTCCAGCATCAAAACTTGCTCATTTCCAAAGCTAACAATACAATCAACTACACACTACTGAGTAATGACAACGCTTTCTTGAGCTACTACCCCCATTACTTCACACAGCGGACTCTGACAGCACGTTTTCAGATGAACAATACAAAGCCACCTCATGTCCAGATGGTGCGGAAACCAGTGCTGACTGTCATGGGCTTGCTGGCACTGCTAGGTATAATAACCCCTGATTGAAGAGCACATCAGTAACCTCTTCTACGTAGGCACTTCCTGGCTAAGAGTGACTATTCCCACCATCTCACCATTGATAAAAGGAGGATTTATCATACTCTCTGTTTACTAGCTGTGTTAAGAAAACGAAACTTAATTTCCTCTGAGAAATTAATAGGTCAGATGTTCCTGACAGTGTGTTATCCATTTGATTTAATTTACTGCTTCTTTTGTACCCTCTGTATGGCAACCACTCCTTTTTTATTGACTGGTACTTCCCTCTTGTGCCATCACATCAAGCTGCAAATGTCTTTAAGAAATTCCCACAATGGGAAGACCTATAAAGCATACTAAAGGAAGATCCTAATTCACTGTTACATGCTTAGATGTTGCTAGCTGAACTGCTAAGCATAAGAACTCTAGTATGTGCATGGTCTGCTGTTGCAAAATAAGCCTGACTGAATGCTATATCTGGTAAAATTGGCTAGAATATAGCTCAATCTATAGATCCCCATGTTTTGATCCTTGTTCCTTTCTGATCTTTTGATCAGAAGCTGATACAGGACTGACTAGCAGTGATGCTTACAGAACTGTCACTTTTTTTTAAAGGTGAAAAGCAGATTTATGCTGAAGTATACAGCAGCGAAGGTGAAAGCACTCAGAATGGCACAATTGGTGTCCTGGCATCTGTGCACATCCCAAGTGAGATGCAACCCTCAGATTGTTGGCAGGCTACTCTACTGATGTATTTGAGTGAGGATAACAGGACTTCATCCAACATCAGCATTGTCACAGTGAACACCACCCACTTCCCCAGACTTAAAGGTAAACAAACGTCATGTGGGCAGTTCACATAATTGATCTTTAGGACAGAATATCTGCTGAAACACTTCTGCTGAGTTGCCTTTCATTGCAAGAGTAAGTTTCATTTGCTAACATTATCTCTTGTTTTTTGGGCACTCCCAGATTTCTTGAGATACAATGGTGTTCTTCTAGGAAAGATTCTTTCCTACTTGCCCGCGCTGTGACCCTGCCTTTAATGGCAGCTGCAAGTGCTACCTTTTTGGAAAGCTATTAATCTCAGTGTCTTTGGCTGGATATTGCCAGGCAGCAATTCCCTTACTGGAATGACTCCAAAACAGCGAACATGACCACATGATTACACAGTTGGTGCAGTTGTCCAACAAATGAATGCAGCACCTGTGCAAAAAATAAGAAGGTTTCAATTCTGGTTATGGAAGTAATAGCTTGAAATGTAAACTTGGCAAAGATAAATTGTAGAGCCTTGTAAGAGTGCTAGCCTCATGACTTTCCAGTGAAAGCCGGGCTCCAAAGTGCTGAAATCACTTTTGAGAAGGTAGACTTACACATCTTCTGCTAAGTTTATTCTTTCTAATCTTTAAATCCAAGTAAAAGGTTTACTCTCTTTCATTTGTGTTCCTGAAGAGATGGTGTATGTGACATACTACCTGGATAACAACCAAACCAATCCCTACCTGAAATGGAAAAAGCTAGGAAGCCCTGACTTTCCTTCGCCAGAACAGTTCCAGCAAATAAGGGATGCTGAGGTATGACCATGTGTTTGCTTGAAGTGTTGTATGGGTGAAGTTGTTCTGAATTGGTTAACTACAGCTAAGGAGACAAGAAATCAGGTAGTAAAAATTTCCTTAGCCCATTAATGCGCATTTCATATACATATGAAAATCCACTTACAGGCATGCAGAGAAATGTAGTTGACGCACAACCTTCGCATTTATGTTATACAAGAGACTAAATGTAGATGACCGACTTCTTTGCTATTGGCCTACCCTTAGCTAAGGAGGCAGAGGTGCTCCAGAAGAAGTTGCACATTTTCTCTGAAACATAAATGAGCTTTGAGACTTTTTCTCTTCTGACTCCCAAATACATCACATGGCACTGTGTATATTACAGAAGGGCCAAACTGTTACATTAGAGAGTTGAAATGAACCCCCGTCAATAACAGGAGACAAACAGCTCCCTGAGGTGGAAACTACCCAGAGCAAGTTCAGAAGACACTTAGCATCTCTCAGGGGCTCACAGGAAGGCCTGCAGTTTCCCCTTATCCTCACCAGTTCTGAATTCACCCCAGAGGACACTGAGGAATAAGTCCTTTTGAGGACTCTTCTTTACTGAGAAAAGCATTGCCCACACTACTTACTGTTTGTGAGAAGTGAGCAGCCTGTCACTTTAACTCCTTCTCCCATAGTTTCTGTATGCATTCAGACCCTCGGGTTAAAATAAAGGCCACCTTTATCCCCGTCAGAGCCCATAGACAGTAACTGCCTTCTGACTTTGGTGCACAGTACTATGTCTTCTCTTCCTTAGTCACCATAATCTACTATTGCTCAGGCCTGTGGGATACTGTAGGAGCCATCAGATCTTCCTTTAACAGATCAGCAGCAAGCTTTTAGAAACTCTTGGCCATTTGGTGAAACCTCATCCTCAGAGACCAGCTGAGTGGCTGTTGTGGCTAGAAATGGCTTTCACTGCACACTGGGAATTCATAGCTGAGACAGGGTTGTGGTTTGTATAGACACTAGTGAAAAAGGCATCCATAGGAGATTGCTAAAAGGGACAGACTGCACCTAAAGGGCATTTGTGATCAACTCAGTTTGTGAGATGAACAAACCCTCTGTTTCCTGGAAAACAGGTAAGATAGATAGAAAAGTCTCCTGGCTTGAAGAACTTTAATGGGTGTAAGCCACTTATCAGCACCAACTCTATGAGGAATTTACGGTCCCAGAGTAAATACACAGTTACTTTACAATGATTTAACGGTTGGCCTTTAGGTGCTATAGTAAAAGATTATTCACAACACTTCTCTTTGGCTCCACAGGGTCCAGTGGCAACAGACCCATGCCCATTTCCTGAAGGTGGCATCCTGACACTGAAGCAAGACTTTCCTGTTCCCTCAGTTTTTCTTATCCACGTATGTGCAAGACCCAGATCTGTTCCTGATCAAGTATGTATTGTATTCTACTGTCAGACTCATCAAATTAGAAACTGCTTCCTGCTTTAAGTCTCAATAAGAATAGCTGGACTAGCATTTGGACGTATTATTTGTTAAAAGTGCCATATAAGACTTCATAAATAAACAATTCTTCTCTCCTTTGATGAGAAGGCTCTCTAAGGCATAATTAAAGATAAAGCGATCCACAGGATGTGATAGGAACCATCACTGAGATAAAGTTTATACATGATGGGAAAACAATAATGCAGTACTAGAAACTGCAGTATCTTTTTTAAAATCACATCATGTGCTACCAGGCTTGATAACAGCTCTCCAGTTAATAACTGATAGCTAAAAATAAAATGGAATCATGGCTGTCCTAGATAAAATATCTGTATCCGCTGATTCAGTCCCACCCATGTTCATAGTGATGCCCAGAGCCTCTGAAGTTCTTCTGTGAGGTTGACAGGATGGAGACATAGGCTACAAAGTCACAGAGCCAGGAGTTTTGTTTTTTCCCATGGTCCCGATGGAAAGAATCAAAGCAAATATTTAGGAAGGAAGGATGAACACATAAGTCTGACCTGGCTGATTGGTTTGTACATAGTTTTCTTACATAGGCACATGTCTTTGGACAGGTGACTGGTGTTCGTTTGATCCCTCTCACAAAGGGGCAGGTGATGGTGCTGTGGGACGACGGCTGTGTAAATTCAAAGTAAGTAGCTTTTAAAATAAAATGGATATAATTGAAGTGCCAGCACATTACTCCCTAAGTTGCCCCAGCACATTACTCCCAGTCCTACAAAGTGAAACGAGTTCACAAATTAATGACTGCTTGCTCCTTGAGAGACTTTACAGTGCATTTGTGTGACAAAATGAACTGTAGGACCTACATGCCATAACTATGGAGAGCAACCCTGACTAATTTGTGGCTTGAGCAAGGAAATCTGCCTGTTGTCACCAGCATCCAATGGCATTTTTGAGGTACTTGCCTTAAGCATAGCAGACAGGAAGATCTGTGATGAAAGTTATATTAGCAGCAGGTGCCTAGATGGGATCTTACACATCCTTGTAAGGGATGTGAGCTGGAAGAGAAAACCTCCAGTTCCTTGCTCCAGCAAGCTGCACTAGACTGGAAACCCTCTATAGGTTCACTGTCAGAGGTGACCCAGTGTACATCCAAACTCCCTCAGGAAGCACTGGCTTAGCTCTTTTTCAAGCCAGTCTCCCTAGAATCTTCAGGCCTCTTTTGAGAATAAAAATGCCTAACAGCTTGTGATGCTGTAAGTACCCAATATAGCAAGTCAGCCTGGGTGTTCTTCTGTGGGCTGTTGGAGCCATGGTTCTTCCTAATACTGACAATTCTGTGCCATCTCACATTTGGTAGGGGAGAGTCAGCTGAATAATTCCTATTTTTGGCCTTCTTTGTTGAAATGGCCCTGAGATTAGGACTCGATTGCTTACCACATTATCAATTGTATTTACTAAGCTGTCTCATTTTCTTTTCTAGATGTATAAAGACATTTGAAGTGGAATTCTCACTAGATGGAAAAGCATACCAGCGGATTAATGGCAAAGACACAATATTCACTCTCTGGATCTACAGTCCGGGTAAGACAAGAATACACATACTGTGTAATCTGTTATGTTAGTGCTTCCATTCGTGAGTGTGTGAAACATCATTTAATAACTACAGAAGGTATATAGCTTGCTGGTGACATACTCCCATAGCAAATAAGAGCACATCCCTTTCTTGAGGACTATGTTCTCAGTGAAAAGCCTTATTCTCAAGGACAAATAAACAAATAGTCACTAGGACTTTATTAGGAGTATTGGCATGAATAAATTCCTTGTCTCAGAAACCAAAGGCACCCATCTGCAGGCGTGGCAAGCTCCATAAGAGGCAAAGCAGCACTTTTGTCTCTATTTGTAGCTGGTGTAGGAGCATGCAAAAATGAGAACAAAAAGAATTGCTCCACATGACCACAGCTTGGTGGTGTGTTCTTGGTAGACTCACAGCAAGGCAAGCCTGAGGTTTAGTCTCAGTCTCACAGGTATTGGCCATGCCTTTCCCTAAATTTGTACAGTCCTCTTAGGGTAGAGCAGTAGGAGCAAACTGCCTTGGTAACAGTTGTTTTGTACCACTGAGTCTGGAGGTGTTAGGCTGCCAAAGGATATGGCATCAACACAGAAGTAAGTGGAAGGTCACATCCTTCTTTCCTGGAGGGATTGGTTGTCTGCATTTATTGTGTTCTGAGCTGCTCCAGGGGAAGCTCACAACTCTGCTCTCATCCTGGTCACCTGTCCCATACCCTTTTATGGGTTGGTAATCTTAAGCTATCAAGGTGCTCCCTTGTAAGAACAGAAGAGGTGCTCCTGTAGTACAGTTTGTCCTGGCTCTCTGAACACCTAGCCAAGGAGAGACTCCTCTTTTTGCTGTTTCCTAGAGCTTTCTTTTTAGCCCTGACTAGCTGACTAAGTTTTAAATGTTTCACATTAGAGGGCAGAGAGTTTCATCTTTGACAACAGGCAAAGCTTCTCCCAGAGCCTGTGGTCATTTCTCCTCAAGTACAGCCTAGATGCAACAGAAACATACCCAGATGAAAAACGCTGAAAGAAGGTAGTGATGTTTTCTTTGGGTATTTTTTGTTAGTTTGGGGGCTTTTTTAATCAAATGTGGTCTAATCTTCAATGTGAATGTCCAACAAATATTACTAATAATCAGAGCTGTGTGAGACACAGACAGAACCTTCCCTTAAAGTGATACTAATAAAGAGCAATTCAGAGAAGTTTTTGCCAGAAACAGAAGCTCATCTTAGCCTGGGAAAGGTTTGACATCAGCAGTGGGTGCATAATAGAGTTCAGAGCTATTGCGACAATTTAAAGGCTACACAGGTAAGCAAAGACTGGAAATCATGGCCATGGCAAACTTAAGAAATTAGTATTCATTATCATCTAGTGCTGAACATCTAGGGAACCTACCAGATTTGTTTGTTTCAAAAACAAACCCAAAAAAACCTGCTTGAAAGAAATCTCACATTATCAGCAGCCTTTATTGCTCCATACAACCTTCTCACTCATTATTTCCTGTATTCTTTTAGGAAAAAAATTAAATACTAAAGTACACATAAAAATCAAGTAAGTAGATGAGAAAAAACATTTATACTACTTTTGAGGTTAAAGACTGCTAGTGAAGGCTGTGTTGTTTGAACTGGATCAAGGATGAAAGCCAGCAGAGCCACAGAACATCAGCTCACATACCTTTGGAGCAAGTGGTGCTGCTTCCTGAGTTGAGGAGAGGGTTTTCAGTCAGCCTGCAGGCTTCTCGTTCTGCTTCTTTGTTGATCCTCTCTCCACATAACCTGTTCCAAAGGCACAATTCAGGCAGAAAAGTCAGAAAAAAGGAAATCACTAGTTGTTGGTGTCAGAAGATGTCAAAGCCTTCTTCCAAAGGGACTGCCAGGACAGCAGTCCTGTAGCTGTACTCACAAATCCTAATGAGTAGAGAGGAGGTCCTTGGTGCAACAAAAAAAAAGCGCCAGTATTGGCCATGGGTAATTCATAATCATTTTTAGTTAGACAGACACAGACATGCTTACATAGGGTGTGGAACTGTTTTCACTACTTCCCCAGCCCGTTCCACAAACCTACATTTTGTAGGAGTAGCGCCCGCTCCACATCATCTAAGCACCACAGGTGTCAGCTTTTCACAGTGACCATTTCTAACCTTTGCATTTGCAGGAAGCTCGGTCTCCGGCTTTTACAGAGTGCGTGCCATTGACTACTGGGGGAAGGCAGGCCTGTCCTCTCTTCCTGTGGAGTATGTTGAAGTTTTCAAGTGACTCTGAAGAGTGGTGCCTGACATGGTGACTGAGTGGTGTATGTTACCAGCAAATGACAACTCCCCAGAAAAATAAACTCCTCCCAGGCTGAGGAGGGAGTATCAAAAGGACCTGATGAAGCAAGTTAGGAATGCAAGTTAGAAGCAGCTTCCCCTATTAACTCTTCAAAGCTCAAAAGACAGTATTATCGAAGAGCTCAAAAGACAGTGTTACCAAACAGCCACAACTGACAACCCAACTGGTACAATTGTAAAAGGCTGCCATAGGACTGGAATTCAGCTTGGCAACTAGGAGTTATGGGAATAAATATTTAGTATTCCCTATTTTACACAGAGCTAATGACCAGGACAACCAAAGATTTACAAAGATGAACTGCAGCAGGAACAGGACCATTGCTTTGCTGTATAAGTGAGGATGACAGCAAAGGCTCAAGGAGGACCTGTCTGAGTGTGAACTGCCTGCCTCAGCTGCTGGGCTGTCTTGACATGGTTTGATGGAAGATCACACAGCAATTAGACACATCCAAAGCATGAAGTGAAGGATCCCTGCTTCCCCGCTGGTTCATCACACGCACTCCAGTGGGTTATTTCAGAGCACTTGCATGGCTTCAGATGTATGAGGTTCTTTACCCTCTCACAGAATGGTTTCCACCCAGCTCTTTCTGCATTTGTGGCTGTTATTGGGATGCCTGAGCTGTTCACCCCTCACAGGTAGAGGAAGGGTCAGCAGCTCATGCTCCAAGGATAAAAAGGCACAGGAAGCTCCATTACTGTCACCTAGCCTGGCCTTTTCCAGTCCTTACAGTGAATATCTCTACCCAGCAGTCCTCTTTGCTCAGACTGTAGTGACCTGAGGCTTGGCTTTGGGTGGCCAGGAGAAAGCTGAAATGCTAGTTACAGCCTTTTGGGTTTTCATCTCACAGGAGGGCACAGTCTTGAATGTAACAGGGCTGCTACTTGCAACCAGTTAGGAAGTTAACCAAGAACAGTTTGAGTTTCTGTGCTTTGCAAAGTATGTGGACAAGCATGTGATAGCCCCAGATCATGGGCTACAGAGCACCTCTGGCTGTCCTTGCAGCTTCCAAACACTTTATGTAACAGCAAAGTTCCCTGAAATTGCAGGGGTGTTGTTTCAGTCTCCCCTTTTCACAACTGGCATAGTTTGAACTATGGCTTTAAAATGCTCGTAGAGGGAAGGATAATGCCAGTGAAAACAGCTGGAGTGTTTTCCATAAGAGGAGCAACTTTGCCGCACAAATAAATCCCCTGCTGCTCTCTTTGCTGATATCAGCCACCTCACCAACATAACAACAAAGACTGCATATTTGTTGAAACATTAAGGTCTCAGACAATAAAAGCCAAGTTTGCACAGTAGGAGAGAGCTGAACTACCTCAAATGACCTCACTTTTACAGCACAGAAAAGAAACGTACACAAAAAGTCAGTATATATGAGATGAGGCCTTGTATCTGGTTACCTTCTCATTACTTGTTCATGTTCTTATGCTAACAGTTAACCTTAAATACTCATTTTGTCACAGAATTCAGATGAAATATTTCTTTTCTCACTGAAGTTTGACTAAAGAGTGCTTGTCACATCCTAATCTGCTAATTCCTCACCCATAAAGGCTTGTGCAGAACAGAAACGGGCCACTGGAGCTGCTTCAAAAAAAAGTTGGTGGGAAGTTCTACTTGGATGGAGATAGTAAAAATACATTTCAAAATTGTTATAACTGCCCCTAAGTGAAGAATCAGAATATGCAATCTACTAAAATCTAGTAGTTAAGATATTGTTTTGCCAGTATGAAGTGGAACCACAGGAAAAGTATTACTTTTAAGAAATATTCAAGCATAGGTCCTTGAGACATTTCAGTGCATCTGAAGCAGGGGAAGAGACAGGAGCTTGAGAGAACAGTTTACCCTGTTAGGATGCCCTATTTGAGTAGCCTTCTGCTTTAAAATTTTACCACACTGGCAATCAGAATACAACCATCTGTACCAAACCAATGGACCATGTGTTAGTTACGGGTGTTTGAAAAAAAAATGAAACATAGCTGTCGTGAAGAGTATTGTATTTGCTATGCAGTGATATAGTAGAAAATGTATAGGTATGCAAATAATGAAAAACAAAAAGTAAAAAATCACTGCCCTGCTTTACTTAGCAGACAAACTTAAATTACACCTCATGCAAGCAAGGCCAGGAATGGCATATATGAGGCAAGAGATGCAGAGCTAGAGAGTCCTGCTGGAATGTTTAGCTTTTGCAGAAGTGTAGAACAGAGAACTGTGAATCACTTACTCTTTCACTATATTGAGATCTGTCCCTATGGCAAGTGATTTGCCTTAGGGCAAGTCATCATCTTTCAGGAGATTTTAGGGTGGGAGTTCTGCTGGCCAAGGATTTCTGCTTCTCAGCTAAATCCAGTTGGCCACCAGTCACAAGT